TTTATAATCATAGCATTTTTGACTAAACCTCAATATTGCTTATAGTATGGACTTGGTTTATTAAAAATATTTAATTTTCTTTATAATAATTAATTATGCACAACTGTTATTCTCAATTTCAGCATTTGAAAATTAATCATTACAGCAAAATATATTTTCATAAATAAAATGAAAATTTATAAAAATAAATAGAAATTAACAATTTAAATAATATTTATAAATGATGTCGAAAAATTATTAATATAATAATATTATGAATATTATGAATAATTCTACATTATTATGAATCACAATGGGAGTTGAGAAAATAAATTTTAACAAAAAATCGACTATTTTATAGATAATATTATCTAATATCTAATCACAAATAAATTCGCTTGCCTCAAATTTTGGTATAGCTTAGGGACGCCTCCGATCGACTCTTAACTCACTTAATAAATACAAACCCAGAAAATTTGGCCAAAAACAATGCAATTATAAAAGAACAGCTGGATTTAGAAAGAATTGTTCACAAAAAAAAACTAAGTTCTGGTTTTAGTGTAGGCGGGGAAGATTGTGCCTATGGGGCCCTGTTTAGGAATTGTTTTCCCGCCATGGATTCTTTCTTTCGGGTTGTTTCTGTATCTTCACTTTAAGTCATAATATTTTACAATTTTTGATTGATAAATACTATAATAAATAATTTAAAAATAAAGAAAAAAATTACTAAAGGGAAGAAAAAACAATTTTTTAAATAACAGGCTAGGAATGTCTGGGTAACCTTTATTCAAATGTTGGTCACTAACATCCCTCCGCTTTATTTCCATTAAAGTCTACAATTTTCTCACGTTTTCAGCGCCGCAGGCAAAAATTTTGGGAATTTTGGAAGACTAAGAAGCCAAATTTCTTCCAAGTTTTGTTTCGGGTTTTAAGCAATTTCGGGTCACGGGTTTCGGATGGAAAAAATATCGGGTACGGGTTCCGGGTTTCGAGTTTGAAAATTTTCAATTCGGGTATCGGGTTTCGGGTACAAAAAAAGGCCGGGTTTCGGGTATCGGGTTTCGGGCGGCAACCCTGCTACACGGTAAATGAGTAGGATGTGATCATTAAAAAACTAAAAATAAAAATCAATCAGAACGCTTTAAAATTAAAAGTTTAAAGATAAAAATAAAGCAATAATTGAAAATACTATTTGTTTTGGATACTGTACATATATGCTCAAATAATTACCAAGGTAATTGATGTTCAATATGTTGCATTAGGCATTTGGTGAGTGTATTTATTGTTTTAACATCGTACTGAGGGGAATAATTAATCGAGATAGTGTGTTATTTCTGAGAGAGAAATTATTCGAGCATATATCGTAAAATCTCTATAAGAATGCATTGTTCATTCGATTTTTCAAAGACCTTCTAATGTTTCATTTTATTCAAGATTGACATTAAGCTGGATGCATTCTAATAGAGTTTTTCTGTACGTTATGTGGATTGGGGAAGGTTGAGCGTAGCCACTTGAGCGTCAGCTAAATTTGATCGACTATAACTTTTTTAAGATTGATCAATTCCGAATAAATCTTAATTCATTCTAAAGCCCAATCTTTAACCTAACTGGATGGTTCATCAAATCATTGGTTAAAAATATAAAACTCGATAAGTGCAAAAATCGTTTTAGACATATCGACTTGTAATTTTTTATAGTGCGATCAGACTTGATTGATCCAATTGGGCAATAGACTGCTAAAATTAAATGAATTGATGCTGAAATGAATTGATGAATGATTAAATCAGATTAAATATTAATTAATATTAATTTAAAAATATTAAATTAAAGATATAAAATTAATATTAGATTAAAAAAAATTAAATATTAAATCGGACATTAAATTTGAGTTAAATTTATATTAGAATTTTTAGGATATGTGAAATGATATTGCCTTAATCAAACCATTAAATTAATTTAGAATTCAATATGCAAGAGCGAGAGGAATTTCTCCTGAGGTACCTCATCGGGTCATTAATCCCTGTAAAATATAGCAAATATTAAATATTGATACTTTTTCTAGTTAAAAACTCTGATATCTGTGTTTGGAAGTCGAAAAAGAAGAGTGATCTAGATTGGCATATAAATATAAGTAGTTAAATGTTATATCATATAAGACGTACAAACTATAAAAAAGAACTTAAAATTCAAAAAAATAAGTCAAATAGAAAATTCGTGACATTCGACTAATTTTGATAATTGATAATAAATTAAAAGTTGAAAAAAAGATAGTTGATATTGATAATATACTAGATAGTTTGACATAGAACAATATTATATAAAAGAAGATATTTGATTCAGTTTTATATATAATTTATTAAAAATTAATTATATATTATCACTCCATTCTATTCTATCGAATCTTATAATAACTTTATTAAAATATAAATATACAAATTCTTTGCAGAAATATAAATTTCAATTCTAATTTTAAATTCAAAACTGGTTAATAGAATAATAGCAATACTACAGAATTTAGAAAATTATAGTATAAAAAATTTAAAATCAAGAAAATTTGAAAATTTAAAATCAAGTTAATTTTTAAAAAATAAATAATTAAATGAAATGGTGATTAATTAATCTAATGTATAGAAAATAATTAATCTATAATTAATTTAATGAATAGGTTAATTATACATATTTTTTTATCATTTTAAATAAAATTTATAATTTATTTTTATTTAAAAACATCATTAGTTTTGCTATATGCAAAATATTCATAACTTAGTTTTTAATATTTTCATAAAGCATGACAAGTATTATGACAAAATAATTTGTCTTGCGAAAAAATATAAGGCGAAGGAAGCATGGAACGATTATTTCCTGATTTAATTGAATATGAAAAAATAAAAATGATATCGAATTTAAAAGGACTACACTTTGATAATTAAAGTTTAAAGATAACAATATGTGTTAAAAATTTTCAATTATTGAATTTGAAAAATAAGCAAGATAGAATAAAATATGAACAAATAAAAAATTAGAATATATGATAAAAAATTTTATATTGTGTAAAACCCTTATTATTTCTAAAAAAATTAGATTTTAATATTTTTTGTTGGTTGCCAGGGCATGGTCTCTGCAAGTCGTATTCAAGCTGTTAATCGACCGAAAAAGATAAGATAAGTATGATTTAGATGATATTGTAAAAAACTTGAAACTTGTTTAAAAGAAGCAATGAGAAATAACTAACATTTACATTATTGCCTACGAAAAGAACCCTAAATTTGCCTTTAGTTAATAATACTGTGCTAGACCGTAAAGAATTTTTAGATGAATATAAATTTTACAAGTTTTTATTTAAGCACTTTTTATGATAACTATTATATTTTTCTATCAATGATGCTCAAATTAGGAAGATATACCACAACTAATGGGATAAAATCCAATTCGTAAAATAAAAATGTCAAAATCTCTGATTATTAAAAGATTTCTTAAATATTTCTATATTTGTTGAATTTAAAAAGTACTCAATTCCAATTAAATTGCTTCAATTAATTAATAATGAATTTTTACACTTTGCCTCGGATTTTGATTTTGTTAAGCATGTGATAAATGGTGGGTCTGCATGATATTTTTAAGGCAATAATTATGTGCAAACTAAAATCAATAAAACAATCATTATAGTAATTTTTATTATAATTTATTAAAAAAGCTATGTTTAATTCAATCATATTTTAGAAAAAATACGTTAATTAAAGATGCATTTCCATATTTTAAAGAGTATTTTTAAATAGATAGTTCATATTTTAAATAAAAATATTTATTTGTTTTTCTGTAATAGAATAACTTGCTTAATTATAGAAAAATATAAATAACAGTTAATTCACTATCGATAGTCCCCAGTAATATATTATATTTTTCCTTCTTAAAAACTTACATTTTTACTTTTTCATGTTAAATTTTAGCGTTGTTAAACGGTTTTTAACTTAACTAATCTTCTCCAATTCTATCGAAAATATTAATGGATTATTGAAAATCTTTAAAATTTTTTTTATAAATATTTTATTAAAAGATCTGCCTATCCCTGGCATAAAATAATGAAAATACACAAATTATTGAGAATACAGCGCAAGATTTCATTTATGCTTATAAATAGAAAAATTTCATTTATGCTTATAAATAGAAAAATTTACAAAATTTTTAAAAACTAAAAGTAATTAAAATATAGAATTAATGTTTAGATTTTTTCTTATAACAGATTTGATTATCCAAAAAGATAAAAAGATAAATTAACTCTAATTATAAGTGAAGGTTTTTATGGAATTAAATTGTAAAATTTTTTAACTTTTACAACTGTCAATTTTAAATTTGCCTGTTTTAAAAATTTATTTTAAAAATTCAATAAATTAACTAATAAAAAAATTAACAATATAAATTTAATTCAATATTAATCAAATAATCTAATCTGATCATTTAATAAATTTAAAATTAATTATTCTCCAACACTTCGATTCTTTTCTTCAAAGCTTCCAATGTTTCCTGTAGTTTAGTAATTTGAGGAAAAAGCTCATCTGTTTGTTTTGTAAGATTTACGAATTCTAATTATTCATAGAAATATTTCTTACTATAACGACAATTTGCAGGACATGTTCCTGTAATTAATATTACTTAATGTTGAAGCAAGGAACTCTACTATAAAATTTAGGTATCTGACATGCTCTTAAACTACAGGGCATTTTAATTCTAGGTATTTTGACCTAATCCTAAATTACCATATGACAGTGATTTAATGGCCATGTGATTGATACTATATGCATTTGATTCACCATGACTTATACAAATCACAATATTTTTATCTATCTAGTTGAAAAACATGTCTATCATTAGGTTTATTAACAAACCATCTGATCCCGCTTCTCCTTTCATACCTAAAGAATAAAATTTTAATAATTTTTTCATTTGAAACCAGGAAATCCAGGTGCACCAGGCAAACCAGTTTCTCCTTTCATACCTAAAGAATAAAATTTTAATAATTTTTTTTATTTAAAACCAGGAAATCCAGGCGTACCAGCTAAACCATGAAAACCAGAATCTCCTTTCATACCTAAGAATAAAATTTTAATAAATTATGCATCTCAAACCAGGAAGTCCATGTGATCCATCTAAACCAGAATCACCTTTTATACCTAAAGAATAAAATTAAAATAATTTATTCATTTAAAACCAGGGAATCCAGGCGCACCAGGAATACCAATTTCTCCCTTCATACCTAAAGAATAAAATTTTAATAATTTATTTATTTAAAACCAGGAAGTCCATCTCTACCAGGTAAACCAGGAAAACCAGATCCTCCTTTCATACCTAAAGAATAAAATTAAATAATTAATTTATTTAAAACCAGGAAGTCCAGTCGTTCCATCTTTACCAGGTAAACCAGGATAACCAGATTCTCCTTTCATGCCTAAAGATAAAATTTTAATAATTTATTTATTTAAAACCAGGATGTCCATCTCTACCAGGTAAACCAGGAAAACCAGATTCTCCAGGCGATCCTTTCTCTCCTTTTTGACCTGTAAAATTCAAAATAATAAAAAAAAAATATTTTTTAAAACCAGGAAGTCCAGGAAATCCTGGCATGCCTTGTTCGGCATTTAAATTTAGAATAAAGGATATAATAAATAATCCAATAAAAATATATGTAATAATCATTGTTTGAAAAACCTCTTCAATTGTGATAAAATATGGGTAGTATTGTTTTATTGTTTTAATGGATTATCTTGTTTAAGTGACAAATGAAGGGAAAATATTACAATAATTGATCTTGATAAAGCCGACTCAAATTTACAAATAGGAGCAACAAATTTATAAAATGATTTTATCCCACCAACCATCCAATAAACTTTTTATATTTTCTATATTTCAGTTACATAAAGATAAATTTTATAATTTGATCGAATAATTGAACATAAATTAAAAATAAACTCTTTAAAAAAGTCGATTAATTTAAACAACTGTTTTTTAAACAACATTTATAAAATGACACAAAATATATACTAAAGTGATAGTTAAAAATTCACAAAATTTGTGCAAAAAATTAGGATTAAATTTACTAATTAGGGACTAAAAAACAAAATTTACTAGAACAAATAAAAATATATTTTTTATAATTATTTTTATTAACACATTAAGATAATTTACCCTTTTGTATGTATAAGTAAAGTGTTTTTGTATTTTTAAGTCTGCCTATATTTTTAATCTGCCTATTTTCTTTACACATTTTTTAAAATTTGATTGTTTATTTTGTAAAATTAATTTATAATTGATGAATTTTGCTTATATTTAAAGTTAAAACATACAATTATTTTTATTATTTTGTAAAATAACCCAATATTGAGAGATGATACATTTAAAATTGTCTAATCAAGTTAATTTCAATCTATTTCATAACAAGTTTATGTCCTTTCCTAAAATAATAAAATTATAATCAGGTTAAATTTTCAATTAAAAAAAGAAGAAAAGAGAACCAGTTTGAAATTTTCACAAAAAGACGTTAAAAATTTAAAAACAATCATTTTCTAATTATTTTCTATCGATAGAAATGTTTTTTTACTTTACTTTGTTCAATGATCAAAACCCATTCATGGACTTGGAATGATTATCCATCCCCGAGAGGACCAGATTATTCGAAATGTGTTGTCACCTCTGCTACTCAGGATATTACAGTAGATAAAATAATTGTGAAATATACGAAAAATGTGTAATATGCGAAGGATGCGACACGCGAAATGCGAAATTAGCCTATCACTGATCTATACCTTTCTAGAGTCTTCTCTATCTAGTTACTCCCATATAGGCCTAGTGCCCTACATAACGGGTTAGATGTAAAAAAAACAAGTTAACTGCCTTGCCCTACATACCCTACATGCCCTACATAACGGGTTAGATGTTATTTGGTATCTTATAGTGAGGTTGGGTTGTACCTATTTTGTTCAATCAGTTATTTTTTAAACTATCTTCAATTTAAAATTAAATTTAGGCCAAAAGTAAATTCTATTCATCTTTAAAATAAAAAAAAATTGCAAAATTTCAAATCAATTTTGAGGGATATTCATTTGACCTGTCTAATCTAATTAACTTCAGTAATTCACACTGTCTTTTAAACGATTTCTGTCCAGTAACCGCAAGTAAGAAACATTTACAATTAAAGATTAAATACTATTTATTTATATAATGTGTTTAAATCAATATATTTTTAATCAAAAGGTAAGTTGAATTTAAAACAAATTTTATTTTTTTCGAATATACACTGCTCCACATAATTATAAGTCCACTCCTTTTTTCAGATTTTTTCGATTCCAATGATCCAAATTTTCTGAACATTTAGATACACCATTTTAGTGAATAACTAACAAGATTTGAATAGATTTTTGGCTGATTTTTTGTCTAAAAAAGTTTTAGACCAAAATCGCATTTTCGCCTCCACAAAATTATAAGTCCACTTTTCAAAAAAGATATTTCTAAGTAAGGAAAAATCTACAAAAAATCAAATCCAGCAAAGATAAATAATGATATTATGAAAAAATAAAAAAGAACTAGACCCATATCTTTACCCGGAGCCTCTTATAGATTATTATTAATTCTGATTTCGGGCTCATTGAAAGCACTTGAAATAGGCTACAAGATTGCAATAGTCTTATTTTTTAGGAAAATTCCATAGAGAGACGCAAGATCTATCCTTCATTACCCACAAAAGCTCATCCAAAATTGTCGTCTAATTTTTTTAATTACTCGATATCTATTTTTTAATCTCTCGATATTTCTCTTACTCCTCCCAAATCCCCGATATCTCTCTTTATCTTTTTTAATTCAAGCATTCTCAAAAATATTAGGATTATCTATAATAGAAACTAATGTTAACCAGGTAATAAATGAAATAGTGGAGTGTGATTTAGTTAGTTTTAATTAAAAAGGGTCATTGAATTGGGGGGTGTTATTCAAATGGAGAAGCGATTTTATTAGAATAAATACGATATATGTATTAGAATTATTACGATAATTTATTTAATGTCATGTTTTCTTATGTTGTTCCGCCAATATTTTCCATAATTAATATTAGATAATTTATATTTTCCTTAAAAACTAATTAAATTTATTTTAAAAAGAAATGCTTAAATTTTTAACAATTATAATTTATTTGATAATCAGGACCCATTCATGGACTTGGGAAGATTATCCATCCCCTAGGGGAGACTCTCGTTGGAAATGTGGTGTCACAAACCCAGCTTATGTTTGTATGAAGATAATATTACATTATCAAAAGGATTTTTTACTATATTTTCCAATAATTTGTGAGTTTTATACTAGTTTTATTAAATTTAACCGGATTTCTGAGAAAACTAAAAAACCCGTGATCCTAATGTTCATACAAATTTTTTTCTTTTTTCCTTGTTTTAGTTTTTACGTCTTTCCCGTAAAAAATCACGATCACGCACTACTATACATTATGCAATCTAATACAACTATGTAGAGATTGGACTGGGAATGTCATACAAGAAACGAGATAACGATCTCGATATATTTTCGATCTCAATAATCAAGATTTTGAAGAAACTCATACTATTCGTACACTACCTGCCTCAAGCATGTGCCCCTCCCTCTCAAGTGTTAAAATTATTTAACAAAAATTTTAATTTTAGATTAGGAATAATATCAATCATCTTTTGTTTAATTATTGGTTCTGTGCTTTTATTTTTCATTTGTCAAATACGACAAATAAAAAATTATCTCAAGCAAAGGAATGCTTCAAAAACAGAAACCCAATTAATGACACCAATACAGCCTGTTGGAATTGTTGAGAAAAGAAGGGAAAATGAGGAGACTATAACGCCTTTTTTAAACCTTTAAATTTTTATAATCACAGTCGAACCTCACTTATGTACATATGTGATTTGAAAATTTTTGATTTTACTCGAATTCTATTGTATCAGTGGATGTGCATCCGCCTTTTTTGCACAAATTAAGTAATATATTAAATCGGTAAAAATGAAATAAAAATATACAGTAGAGTGAATTAGTGAGTAGCAAGTAGAAGTTGGGGGGAGTGGCCGGTCAAACAAAAAGGTGTAGGGGTTTTCGGGAGATATCCTTTGATATCTGAGTTGTCTAATTGGTCAAGTAGCACCTATTGCACAATACCCGCTGTCATCGGTCGGGGTAAAGGGGCTAATTGGCCAATTAGTAGTACTAATTGGTCCACTTCATCTAACATATAAATTTACTTTGTGGGGTAGGGGGTTAAGTGTTAATAAACCCAATTAAATTATTAAATTTATTAATTAAAGGGTCACCCGAAGGGTGACCCTCTCCTCCTTCTTCATAACATTTCCTTCCTCTCTTTTGCTTTCTCTCTTTTCTTCTCTCCCTCCTTTCTTGTCTTTCCCTTTATATTTTTCTCTTTTTTTCTCTTTTTTTATTCCACCATTTTTCCACAGTGATTTTTTCTCTTTTTTCTCCTCTTTTTTTACTTATTTTTAATTCTAAATTTTATTTTAAAAACTTTAAAAAATTTTTGGTGAAAAAATAAAAAATGGACAAAATTATTGTGTAAGTTAATGGTGAAAATAATGGAAACAACAACAATAATTAAAAAATTTTTTTAAGTTTTGCAATAAAAAATTCAACAAAAAGTTCAACCATCAGCGTCATACGGAAAACAATTGTATATTTTTTTAAATTAAAATTGAATAATTAAAAATTTTTTATATTAGGCTTACAAAACAAAGAAAGTAAAAAATTTAAAAAAGAAGAAAAGAAAAAAATAAACAATTCTTTTGAACAAGAGGAAGAGGAAGAAAAAGAAAAAAACCGAGAAGGAAATTGAAGATGAAAAAAATGAATGGAAGAAAATGAAGATGACGAAAATGAAGAAGAAAAGGAGGAGGAGGTCAAATTGGAGAATTTGGAGGATTCGAAACCATTAACCTCTTCTGCTTCTAAACAACAAGTCTCTTCAAATGGCAAAAACGGGAAGAAAAATGGAAAAAAGAAGGGGAATAAGCGATCCAGCCATGTTGGTTTACTTGTTAAGAAGACGGAGGCAAAGAAGCAAAAGTTGGAAGTTTTCATGCGCACGAGTGAGACCTACATCCTTCACAAAGAGAAAGGTTTGTGGAATTTATTTGATTTTCAATCCGGAAAATATTTTATCTTTTGATCCGCAAATTTTGTCCGGAAAATCTTTTAGTCCGTTAATCATTTTTTATCTTTTAAGGGAAGCAATTCTAGTAATGATGGAAAAACTACTACTGCCACAAATTCTTTCAATAGCAAGAATACAACCCCCTTGCGTTCTATTTCATTGGAAGGCCAGAATGGAAACAAGGCTGGTGTCGTCACACGCCAACATATACGAAAGAAAAAATGAAAATGGAGGTTTTTTAATTTGAAATTTTTTTTGAAATTTTTTTTTGCTTTTTAAGTTTTAACAAAGAAGCATTCCAAATTAAATGTCGCAAATATTTCTCTGATAACGAGTGTCCACTCGAGCGGAATTAGGTGATAATGGATTTTGTGGCTGATGTTGTTATGAAAGATGGGTCAATCAAATCAGTTTTTACGGAAACGTTAAGAATGAAGCGCCAAAAGTATTTTTTGAAATTTTTTGAAAATTATTAAAAAAATTTTTTTTAAAGATTCTCTTTGACTATTACGAAAGGACGATGGAGTTGAAAGATTAAAAGAAGTTTAAAAATTTGTTGCGCAGAAGTCTCTTTTCGTTGTTTTAGTAAGTTAGAGACTTTGGTTTTTTATGTATTGCTTATTGAATTGCCTTTTAATTTTATTTTTTTCTGTGGGAGAGGATTTTTAAATTTTATTTTGATTTAAAAAATTATTTTTTTG